GGACCTGCTCGCTGAGAGGCAGCAGCTCTACCAGTTGCGCCACCGTGCTGCCCCACTATTCATTCATTCAACCTTTATTTATACAGGTTAGTCTCACCAAGCCTCGAGGACTCATTTACAAGAGAGACCTGTTTTAAACAAAGAAAAATTATGACAACAGTAGACAATCATAAAAAAAGCATATGAATTGGAAAATAAATGGAAGAAAGCTATATAAAAATCAAAACAAAAACAGCTACATTATAAAGCGATATAGAAAACTAAAAACAGGAACATGTCTGTGTTGGGTTTTGCCATGAACTTACCGATGTTTGAGGCCACTTACAGAGGTCAAGGTCGAGAGCTTCAGATCAACAATTAAATTCGGGAGATATCGCCCACTCTTGTATTGCATGAAAGCCCTAAAGCAAACAGCCATCCTTAACTTTGGTGTACCTCAAAGCTCAGTCTTAGGACCCACCCTCTTTACAATCTACATAGGTAATGTAGGTCAAAACATCCCTGATGCATCCATACATTTCTATGCTGATGACACAGTTGCTTATTTTCGAGCTAAAACAGTTGATAAGGCTTTCCAGCTTTTGAAATCTGCATTCAAGATCATCCAGTCTGATTTGTTCCGCCTCAAACTTGTCCTAAATGCCGACAAAACCAAAGGGATGCTTTTTTTCAAACAGGAAGTTGGTCCCAGCAGTTCTTCCTCCGATTTTATCCCCAAATGATGTCCCATTGAGTTTGTTGATTCCTATAAATATGTGGGTATCTTGGTCGACTCTCTCTTTTAAGCTCCATGTGGAAAACCTAATAAAGAAACTGAAAGTTAAAGTGGGTTTCTTTTTCAGAAACAGATCTCGTCTAACCCTGAATGCTAGGAAACGCCTTGTATCTGTGACTTTCCTTCCCTCCATCGATTACGGTGACATTATTTACATGAACGCTCTTACAAGCACCCTGCAGATATTGGATGCTGTCTATCGTGGTGCACGAAGATTCATAACTGGCTGTGATTATCGTACCCGTCATTGCACCCTGTATTCACTGGTTAACTGGACATAATTAATTTCACGCAGACCCTCCCACTGGTACATTTTCATCTTTAAATCACTTCTTGGTCTACTGCCTTCATACATCTCCTCCTACATGTCTCTGCGTGAGTGCAGCTACAGCGTGGCGTCAGGACATTATTACCTGCAGTGTTCCCTCAGTGAAGACTGAACTTAGCAAAAGGGCCTTCTCCTACTCCGCTCCCGTTTCCTGGAATATCTTACAAAAAGACCTGAAGCTCTCGACCTTGACCTCTCTAAGTGGCTTTAAAAATCTGTTGGGACTCCTGGCAAGGACCAACGCAGACATGTTCCTGTTTTTAGTTTTCTATATTCACCTTATAATTTAGCTGTTTCTGTTAACTTTTTTTGCCATCTTATTTGTAAAAAAAATAAAAAAAAATCTGTATGCCTTTTTATAACTGTCTATTGTTGTTGCTGTTGCCCATTGTTGTCGTCATTCTTTGTTGAAATCAGGTCTCTCTTGTAAATGAGTCCTCGAGGCTCAATGGGATTAACCTGTCTAAATAAAGGTTGAATGAAATTCAGACTAAGAAGGCTGTGAAGTTCTGGCGTCCAGTATCGCTTGAACTAGGGATGGCTGAGACACATTCAGCCTGTAAAAACACACAAATGTATGCGGTGTGGCCCAGCTAGCTGCCACACAAATATCCTGGTCAGATAACCCTCAAAACAAGGCCCATGAGGTGTCCATGCTCCTGGTCAAATGGGCTTTCAGTCCAGTCGGGGGCTCTGTATCCCCTACATCTGTAGCAGAGACTAATTGTCTCCACAATCCAGTGTGCCAGCTTCTGGCGTGACACTGGTTTCCCTTTATGAAAAGTGACCCATGAAACAAACAGCTAGTCTGACTTCCTGAAGTCAGCTGTCCTGTCAACATATTCATTAATTCAACCTTTATTTAGACAGGTAAATCCCATTGAGCCTCGAGGACTCATTTACAAGAGAGACCTGAAAAATGATATGCTGATATGCTTTCAGTGTCTGCACAGGACACAAGGAGTTAAGGCTTTGCTCCATTTCAGAGGAGAATGGAGGTGGGTGGAAAGCTAACTGCTCTACTGAACAACATCTGTACACAGAATCCATCACGTTAGGCACAAACGCCGAAATGGGTCTCAGACACAGAGAACCCAGGTGCCCACTTCAAACAGGAAGGGCTGATAGATAAAGCGAGTAAATCTCTCATCCTTTTAGCTGTGGTTAAAGCTAAAAGCAGAGCAGTCTTAAAAATAAGAAATTTCATCCCTGCCCTATTCACAGGTTCAAAAGGATGCAATTCAATTCAATTCAGTTAAGTTTATTTATATAGCGCCAAATCACAACAAAGTTGTCTCAGGGCACTTTACAGAAACATTCACATACATAATAGCCAATTAGTAAAGTTATCTATCTAAGGAATCCAGCAGACAAGTTTAATCTTGGCTTCATTGCAGTCTCCCATCCTGAGCAAGCACAGTGGCAACAGTGGAAAGGAAAAACTCCCTTTTAAAAGGATTTAGCAAAAAGGAGAGTCTTAAGCCTAGTTTTAAAACTGGATAATGTGTCAGCCTCATGGACAGAAAATGGAAGTTGGTTCCACAAGAGAGGAGCCGATAACTGAAGGATCTGCCTCCCATTCTGTTTTTGTAAATTCTAGGAACCACAAGTAAACCTGCAGCCTGAGAGCGAAGTGCTCTGTTAGGAAAATATGGAACAATAAGATCTGTAATATAAGATGGAGCCAGATTGTTGAGAGCTTTGTAGGTTAGAAGTAAGATTTTGAATTATATTCTGGATTTGACAGGGAGCCAATGGAGAGAAGCTAAAACTGGAGAGATATGATCTCTCCTACCAACTCCAGTTAAGACTCTGGCAGCAGCATTTTGGATCAACTGAAGACGTTTTAAAGAAGTATTTGGACACCCAGATAATAAACCATTGCAATAGTCCAGTCTAGACATGACAAATGCATGGACCAGTTTTTCTGCATCATTTTTAGATAAGATGTTTCTAATTTTAGTGATATTACGCAGGTGGAAGAAGGCAGTTCTAGTAACGTTTTTAATGTGGGGGATAAAAGACATGTCCTGATCAAAAATAACACCAAGATTTTTAACATTACAGCTGGAGGACAGATTAATGCCATCTAAGGAGGGAGAAAGACTGAAGAATTAATTCCTAAGGTGCTCAGGTCCAAAAACCAAAACCTCAGTCTTGTCTGTGTTCAAAACCAGAAAATTAAGGGTCATCCAGGTTTTTATGTCTTTAAGACATGCTTGTAGTCTAAGTAGATGATTGGATTCATTGGTTTAATGGACAAATATAATTGTGTCTCATCAGCATAATAATGAAAATTTATCCCATGCTGTTTAATAATTTTACCTAATGGAAGCATATAGAAAGTAAAAGAGTATTGGCCCAAGCACTGAGCCCTGAGGAACTCCATGACTAACTTTGGTGTATGAAGATTTAATATTTACATTTACAAACTGGAATCTTTCAGACAGATATGATTTAAACAATTTTAGAGCTGTTCCTGTAATCCCAATATCATATTCAAGCCTCTGTAG